CCATTTATTAGCTAGCCTTGAGCCATTTATTAGCTAGCCTTTTGCTATTTTTAACTAAATAAAAAGCTTTTTTAGCTTCTAGCTGCCCTTTGTCTACCTTAACTTTGCTACTTTTAGCTAACATTTAGCTACTCTTATCTTTTACCTAGAATTTATGTGTACATAGATAGCCTTTTACAACTTTAACTTTTACCTAGCCTTTAGCCATTTCTTAGCTAGCCTTTAGCTAATAATTAACCTTTTGCTATTTATTAGCAAGTTTTTGCTACTTTTTTGCCAACAATTTGCTATTTTTACCAGCATTTTACATTTTTTTTAGCTTTTATCTATATTTTTGCAACTTTTAGCTCATGTTTCGCATAAAGGCCCCCTTGGTTTGGAAGTTCTGTTCAGAGCGTAGTGGAAATGTTTCACATCTACGGGAGCAGAAGCTCAGATTATCTAATCCCAGGTTCACGCTCATTACTGACATGAAAGGCGGGCAACAATGTAGCTGCGAGTGCGTTTGCCCATCAGCAAAACATTTACATGTTTCTTCCACTTGTTAGGAAATATATTCGAACCTGTTTGGGACTTGATAACAAAACCTCGGGTGAAGGACCCAAACCCACTGAACGGGTCCAGAACACTGAAGATGTGAGAAGATCTCTTCCTTTCTGTTTTCAGACGTTCTGCTGGGGAACACGCGTTCTCCTCCATAATAACCAGTTAGAGGGAAACGTCAACACAAACGCCGCTGCCTCCCTCGTCTCGCAGCGAGCCACGTCCATCAGGCCCAAAAGGCTTCGGTGTCGTCATAAAAACTAGAACAGGCAGAAAGTCAGAAGAAGCCGAGCCAATCGAAGCGCTCGGGGCCGGAGTTTAAGTAAGAAACGATTTTATGCAAATGCAGGCGTGACGCGGTGGGAGAAGCTGCTCCTGACCTACATACTGCAGCTCCTCCATGATTCCTTCAGCCGACGGAGGAGATCACAGGAAGCTGCAAGCTAATTAACGCAGAGCGTGATCATCAGGGAGTTCTGACGGGAGCTGGATCAGCAGAAGAGCGTGAGGGAAAGAGAAATAAAACGATGAACGGCTTCTCAATCCTTCAACGTTCCTGAGCCAAACTCCTCGTTTAAAAAATGGGTTCTGGCTAGAAACAGTCCAGACACCGAGCCAGAACTGAGCCAAGGCTGCTTTTTAAAAAATTTTTATACACAGAACCAAAAATTCCCCACGAGTCATCATGCGGACCGGGCCAAGCCTTTTGTAACAGCCTGCTCTGCCCAGAGAAGAAAGAAACATCTGAGGCCTGACGGCACCAAGTCGAGCAGAAAGCAACAACAGAACAAAAATAAAGAGTTTTTGTTTGTGGAGGACGAGAACAAAAGGCAGGATGTGTTCAGAAAGCACTGAAATCTGCGCGTTACGTACACAAATATTAAAAAACATCACAGCGTGACTTAAAGTCCGCAGCAGAGCGTTTCCTGGTCCTGCTCGGACTCGCGCTACACGTCCGTCTCCGAGGTTCGTTTGCAAGTGATCAGCTCTGACTGAGCGTTCACACCTGGGAATAAACATTCACATTTTTGTGACTCGTGTCCTAAAATTAAAGATTTCCGAGCCGAGACCGAACGCCATCGACTTACAGAAACAGCCGAAGTGATAAAAAAAAAACGGGTCGACGATGACGAGGCCGACAGCGGAGCACGAAGTTATGGACAAGTGCAACAATTTTTACGTTTACGCTCCGATCTGCTGTGTGCAGATAAACTCTGTTTACATCGAGTGCGTACCTGCATGTCACCTGGAGTAAACCGTGCACCATCTCATTCAGAACAGAGGTTTTTCGGCTCGTATCGTAGCTTGCAGCGTATCGAACACGGCTCGGAGCCAGTCGAGCCACATTTTTGTAAAGTTATTCTTGATCCTAATCACCTGACAACAAGAAGGATTAAAGGCACACACACAGAGCTCAGCGTCGGAGCAAAGGCTGAAGATTTTACCTGTAAGAATCCACGCCGACAGCCTTTAGCTGTTTCACCCAGCTTCAGTGAAGACGTTTAAAAAACAGGCTTTGGACCGAGGCCATTCACACCCGTTAACCATGAACTTTAGCTCAAACCTGAACAGAGTCTATTCCACCAAATAGAAGTCGTTCGAACAGCTGTCTACAGCAGGTAAGATAGTGTTTGTTCATATAGAGCCATCCCTTTAACAGGAAAGCTACGGTTCAAAGCAGCGCGGGAACAATCTGCTGTGAGGCGAGTGTCCAATCGTTTGGGGGGGGACAGGACGGTGGACCAAAGTCTGGGAGGTTGGAACACCGGCCCAGACTGAAGCGCTGCCAGAACAGAATTAACGGCTCAGCTGAGCTTCGTAGCTCAGAGGACTGAAGTCATCCCTGATGCCTTCTGAGCATCTTCTCCCTGCAGCCGGGGCGCTCCGGCGTTCAGGACCCCCACACCTCCATCACCACGGCGTCGAGATCAAAACAAACTGAAGCTTAGGCCCGCGGGGAGCAGCTGGTTCTCCCTCGCTTTCCATGAAAATAATCCAACGCACGCGCCGACAGCAGCGTCTCGCCAAATTAATGAGCAACATTCTCGGATATTTAATTAATCCCAAACGTGCGTAAAACAGGAAGTGATTTGCCTCAACCGGGCACGAACATGTAAGATGATCAAAGACACGCTCCGGGTTTGCCCCATCATCATCCACCCTCGAAAAGCAAAAGTGGACATCAACGTACCTCGTTTGTTAGCAAAATAATTCAAACAACTGGAGGAGTTTCATTAAACTTTCAGGAAACAAGCATCAAGTAGCTTTACAGCTGAACCCAATTCAAACTACACAAACACAAACAAGGCTCTAACTTTGTAAATTTAACACGGAGCTAAAATTTGACGTGGTAGTAGCTGAGAGTCATTCACAACACGTACTCTGAGCATCTGGATAGAAAACAGCTGTAACTATTGTTATCTACATGAAATGATCTGGAGCTGCAGCTCAGCGTGAAAACAATCCAGATGAATTTAGTCTAACAAGGTTTGGTCAGGTCCTCTGAACAGATTAAGTAAACAAACAAACAAACAAATAAATAAATAAATAAAATGTTTCGTCTTTTATCCAAAGGACTTCTTCAGTCTGAGGAGCTGCACTAAAATCAGTCTTATAAATATCACCTTCTCATGGTGGATCAACCAGTTTGGTGTTGACATCCAGAACCAGCCGTTCACATGATGGAGGACCATCAGCCTGACGACTGATCGTTAGTGCCATGATGGCTGCTTGCTATTCACAGGGGGCTGAGTGATGTTAGCAGTAACAGAAGATGTTAGCTTCTTTTTTTTTTTTTTTTTAGGTAACAAGAAAATCTGCATACGAGACTCATGAGGGTGGACCTGAGAACCAGGTCCATCCTGGACGGGAACGTTTGGTCGTTAGAGCCACCATCTGACCCAGTAATGAGCTCTGCAACAAACAAACAAACAAGCAAAGCACCGTGCGTCCCTCAAACACACTTTTAATCCACTGAAGAATAAAGGCTGCAGCCGGTCGAGTGATGGGCTGGAGAATTAGAGCGGCAGCAAATCTGAAGCTCAGGTGAGCGGCGTCCACGGACAGGTGCACAGACAGGAAACAAAACACCAGAACCGCTCCCGTCGGACGGCCACGTCCTAAATTTAGACCTGGACCATACACAAACAGACCTCTGTGCTTCTGCTGAAATCTTTGGGTTTTGTCGTGAGGGAACTAACGTTGCAACGCCTCGTTGCAGAACCTATTTTAGAGACGCATAAACGAATGTAAGACGTGAAGCGAAGCTGCAGGTGTTCGAGTCGGGGGTTCTCACCTTCTTGCCCAAGGAGCCGGTCTTGGAGAGGCAGGACTTTGCGAGGGACTGGTAGCCGCCGATGACTTGGATCTCCTCCACAGCTGGGTAGCGTTTCTTCAGCTGGGTGCCCAGCTGAGCGAAGGGGGCCTGGGGCGCTGCGGAGCCCGGTGGGGCCTCACCAGAAGCCTCCTGCTGGGTCTCAGGGGGGCCCTTCTGGAGCTCCGCCGAACGCTTGGGCACCACGGTGAAGGTGTTCCCCTTCTTCGTCTTCTGCACCACGGGGCTGGGAACACGTTGGGAGGGTTCCACCTCGATGTCGTCGATGTTTGTTACCGGCAGATGATCCACGGTGGGTCCAGCTGGAGCTGTGGGGGACGGGGGCGAGACAGGAGAGGAGGAAGGGGAGGATGGGACAGCTGGAGAGGAAGGAGGTGAGATCAGGACAGGTGGAGACGAGGGAGCTGGGGAGGGAGGCGAGGGCTCAGAGGGTGGAGGTCGAGCAGGACTTGTGGCAGCAGCAGGAGGTGGATCAGGTTCCTTCTCCTGCAGGTTCTCCTCTTTCCTCTTAGTGGTCATTAAGGGGGTTGTTGAGGCGTGGGGGGTTGGCACTCTGGATGGAGACCCCTCTGCTGCTCGGGGCGAGGACCTGATGGGGTCTGGGGGTAGAGGAGGCGTTTGGAGACGGCGCTTGGGAATCACCATGAAGGAGTTCCGGGACTGCAGGCGCAGGTTGGCCAGGGCCCGGGCCTGGGCGTCCCCGTCAGGAATCTGCTCCAGGTCGGGCTTCAAGGACGGGCGGATCTCAAACTCGGGGGAGGACTTCAACACCTTGGACGAGACGGGGAGTAGAGAGGACTCGGCATGGCGGGTCTCTGGAGAGCATGGCACCTTGGGTTTGGAGGACACCTCAGACCCTTCCCAGTCTCTCTCCCTGGGGAGTCTATTCTGCCCCCTGTCCAGCTCATCGTTTGGGACAACAGTTGCACCGTTGAGGCCACGGTCCTCAAACCTCTGACGGTAAGAGGACACGGACTGAGGCGCCCCGGGGTGACCCTGAGGGTCACACGGCTCCGAGACAACAGGCTGTGGCTTTGGTTTGGAAGAGCAGGAACTCTGGAAGACTGGAGACGTTGGCTGGACTCCGACAGGCGGGCACGGCCTGGGTTTTGGCACCAGATCTGGCTGTGGCTTGGACCAAAGTCTTGGCCTGCCACTGGCACTACAGTCCAGGTCCAGCAGGTTCTCTGTGCTGTGGGACTTCTTCTGGAGCTTCCCGTAGTTGCTGTCGAACTTCTGCAGGATCCGGCTGACCCTACCTTGACCCTGGCCCGGATCACGTGGGACATCCTGGTCAGGGCGGCCCAGGGTGCTCAGGTTCTCCTCGCTCTTGCTCAACGTGGTGTCGTAAATGACCACCTCCTTGGCTCGGATCTCGGTAACGGAGCTGCCCCTCCGGTCCAGGAGGTCGTTCAGGCTGCTGTAACTGTCCACGCCGTTTGGTTGCCAGGTGGCCCCGGTTTTACCCGCTCCGGACTCCGGGAAGTAGTCGGGATCGGACTCGATGATGATGATGTTCTCGGCGCGGATGGTGCGCACGCCGGGCACGCTGCCGTACAGCTCCAGGATGTGCTGCACCGGGCGGGCGGCGCTCTCCCGGTCCTGCCGCCTCCTGCGCTCCTTCTCCAGCTTGATGAACGGGTTCTCCTGCAGCGGGCCCAGGCTCTCCTGCAGCACCAGGCTCTCCCGGCCGTCCTCCTCCCGCGGCGCCGTCCTCTCCGTCGCTCGCGGCTCTTTGTTGAAGTGCTGGCTGGCCGTGGTGATGCTGTAGTTCCGCCCGGACCCGCCGGCAGCTCCGCCGCCGCCGCCGTTCACATTCGCCGCTGCCTCGCCGTTCAGCTGCCCGCCGGGTCCGGTCTCCGGGGCGGTGCTCCCCACAGAACCGCCGCCCTTCGCCTTCCTCCTCTCCAAGATTTCTCGCTTCCAGGCCGGCATCCTCGGACTCTCTTGCCCGGCCTCTTGGCGGAGAACGCGGACATCCCCCCCACCGGACATCGCGTACGGTAGCTCGGAAAAGGGGACGAGGAGGAAGAGGGAGGCTCCGAGGCGGTCTCGCCGCGGCGTTAGACTCTGTATCCGGCTCCGACCGAACCTACAGGACCGATAAGCACACGCAGAAGCATCCCCACCTCCTCTCCTTTTCTCCCTCCGTGTTCACACTGTTCTCCTCCCTTTCTCCTCACTGCTCCTGAACGCGGCCCCGCCTCTCTACAGCTGCACGAGCCCCAAGTAGGTCTTCGGCTATCCTTCCGGAACGATGATTGGTCATTGTGCTAAAAGACCCGCCTCTTTCGTTTCCCTAACCACGCCCATTGCTATTGTTAACATGGGGAGGGGAGGCCTGTCAATCAATTTAGATGCGTTCAAGTTCTTTCAGTTTTTAATCCGAAATGAACGGACGATATTATCACATTATATTTGGACATTTTAACATGCTCTTTAAAAAATAGTGCGTTGGTTTTGCGCGTCGTTTCTGGGTGGAAGCTTGTTTATTAATCCGTCGATAATCCAGGTTTGGGAAACACATGATCCTATTACTCCGCTGCACATGAATCAGCACTAAGTGGGCTATTCTTGGGCGCTACAAGAGATTACTGTAACTAATAAAACATTTATCTCCGAGCCATAATTAAACACAGCTTGACTAAGGAGCGTAGAAGAAGAAGGTCCGATCTAGTAGCATCATTTATTCACGCAGACTCAAAAAGGTTAGAGTAAACAAGGATGTTTGTTTTTGTGACATAAATCTGGATGTTACTTAAATATATACAGTAGAGAATTTTTAATGATAAAATGTTTTTGACGCTGATGAATCGACACCACACGGTTAGCAGCGCCCCCTTGTGGCCACAAACTATCATCACCTCGATCATTAAATTTTCAATTAACTGTTACAATTTATTATGAATATGGATTCAAACTAAACTTTCAGGAATAAGTCATTAGTTGTGCATCTAAACCAATTAACTGTTGGAGTTACCCCAAATTAAAATGGTTGCCACAGCCAGTAGGAAACAAATAACTATAGTTTGGTCAATTTTAGTTAAAGCACAAACCGGTGTGGCAGCAGCTGACTCATCTTTAACACAAATCTTATAAAACACAACTTACAAGGTTTGACCAAATGGGCTACAACTTCAATAATCATCACTCCTTCAAAAAAAAACAACGTAGTCCTTTTAATTTAAATGTTGGTTTTATTTACACATATATACAAATAACAAATATGCCACAGCAAAAAACATAAATAGGAAAAAATTCAACATATACATATTTTCACAGCAGGAAGTTGAATTAAAACGAGGCCATAAATACATGCAGCACATAAACAAAGCAGGTAGAGGCAGAACGGACCAGGTACAGCACGAGCTGTGGACGTAACCAGCGATTTTTATGGGGATAATGTGCGCACGTGATCTACTGCACGTTCTCCAGCAACAGGCGACACAGTGAGATGCAACATAACGAGCCTCTGGGAGAAAGAAAGCTGCAGCAGCTCCCGGCGGTCTCAGTTTCCCGGAGCGTTACTGCGTTCAGGTCTGACAGACGTGTTAAACTGTTCATACAGAAACTTGTTTCCTTACATTTTACTTCTGAAGAGCCAAACTTTATGTAATTTCCTCACACAGACAACAGAAAACAGTGATTTTAACCAATTTTCTCCTTAAAATTTTCAATTTGGTGTTGGGTCTTGGCTGGATTTTTATTCTATTTCTTAAAAACGTGACTTTCAGATACTCTTCATCTGCTGTAGGAAGATTTATTCAAGCCTGCCACTTGCTAGAATGTTCTCATTTTCTTCAGTTTTATTAAAAACGTCAGGAGACTTTGTGCTCAACGAACACACGTGACCTGTGCTGAAAAAACAAGTTGGAATGAGTGCAGGCAGCAGCAGAAAACAAGTGAAAAGTGACGATTTTTTACATGAAAATTAGTCTAGAGAAACCGTCTAGTGATCCCAGACACTAAAATAGCAAATAATCTTCAAAAGCTACTTTTGAGTTAAAGTTTTCTAACAACTATGTCTTCAAAAATATTTATTTGCCTTATAAACTTTATAGTTTTGTTTCAAATTGACAAATTTTTCTCTACTGGGAAATCCCTTCGTATAATGTTTGTTTTCACTGTGAAAGCTTTGGGAGTTTTTTTTTTTTTTTTTTATATTCAGCTAGAATTCCTGGTGATGCCACTCCAGACCATTAAACATCTGTTTTAAACTTGTCAAATGTGAAGAAACTGCAGACGAGAATTTGAAAAGAAAAAATCTCCAAACGGAGAAATTCTTCATTTTGCCAGCACGAGTCACACGTGTCACGTTTTGACGTTAAACTCTGTGAGAACTCCTTGGTTGATGCTAAAAGCCTATTTTCTATTAATCAAATTGAGCCGTCTTTGGTATTTTTAGTAGATTTTTAAAGAGAAATGAGTAAAAATTGTCTGTATGAGTCGGCCGGCAAAAAAGATCCTAAAGTTCCAAATGAAAATGGACCGAGTTCTGTCGACACATTAGTTCCCTTGGTTTGAAGTGATGTGAATCTATTTAGAAGAAAAACATGTTTTAAATGAGAGCTGGCTTTAAACTTCTGCACAGAACCGGTTGTATTACATGTGTTTTTCTTTATGGCTCTTTGTCTACCATTGATTGCACAATATCAGAGGCACTAAAATGCTCCACATCTGAGAGAACAGTTATCCTCATGAAGGTCCCACAACAACTTACAGCGTTACTTTTTTATATAAAAATGAAAAAACAACGAGCAGAAGTTTACCTGTTGATCTTACAGCTGGGTAAAACTCGTAAAAGCAGGTCGTAGAGTAACCTGGAGGGTGAAAAACCTTGTGGCAATTAGTCAAAAGAAAGAAACGACTTTTAGCTGTTAAATCTCTGACGGCATCGTCGCTGACGCGGATCTGCCTCGCCTCAGTTGACCCGGCACGCTCGGATCATCAGCAGCTGCAGCAGGATGAACAGCGGCGACACGATGAGCCCGTACCACAGGTCTCTGGCCCGATCCTGCTCGGCCAGCTTCTGGCACAGCAGAACCTCGCACACCAGCTTCAGGCTGAGAACCGTCAGCACCCAGAGGAGCCGCAGCACCGCCAGCCGCTTCTCGTTCTCCTGGTAGAGCCGGATGGACACGATGGCCGTGAAGTAAGTGCTGAGACCGTCGGCGGCGAACAGAGGGATGAAGACGAGCCACCAGCTCAGCTGCACGGTTAGCAGGTCCACTCTCAGGGCAACCAGCATGCTGAAGACCAGGAAGGCCAGGAGGTGGAGGAAGAGTTCGAAGGTGGCGAAGCCCAGCCACTGGACCAGTTCCCTGAGGGAGAAGAGCATGGCTGAGGACCGGGGTCTCTAACCCGGGAGAGGAACTGAACACAGCTGGGTCTGCTCAGGCTGGGAGCTGCTCCAGGGTTGGTCCTCTGGGGACAGAAGCTTGTTGGTTCTGCTGAGATCTCCCACCTTGCTGGCTACATCTTCAGCTCCAACCTGGGGACAACAATCGGCAATGAACACTAAAAAAAGTCATTTATTTACTGTGTTATAAAATATTATTACAGATAGGCGCTCATGTTTTAGTATAACAAGGCCTGTAAATCAGATTTTTTCCTAATTCTTTTGCTGTCAAATCATCATTTAGCGCCATTTAATCGAGTTTTATCCCGGATCATGTTGCTAAATTACATAGAATATAAAAAAACACTCACGTTTACGTTTCTAGTCTATTTTAATCAAAAATCATCGATTAGCCGAGACTCCTACTCAGATGCTAACCAAACAAATAAAGCATTACAAGTTTAATACCAAAACAACTTCTACAGGCACATATTCAGGGTTTTAATTAATGTTAAAACGAGACTTTTTACCGTAACAACAACTGGATGTTTGGCTTCTCCATCTGGTTGAAGAGAATCAGTACACAGCCATGCTAACAAGATGCTAACACGGTCGCTTCAACGGAAATTCTTCTTCTTCGTTTTTGTTTTACGGTAGCGTCCGTTCAGAGCGACGGTCTATCGCCACCTGCTGGAAACACTGAGCTACTGCAAGGTTCCGTCAGTCGGATTGTTGTTTTTTTAATTCATTCATTCATTCAACCTTTATTTCTACATGTTAGACTCACTGAGCCCCGAGGACTTATTTACAAGAGAGACATGTTCAAACAAAGAACACAGATGAGGTACAAACAGCAATAGACAATCAAATAAAATTAAAAGTAAATAGAAGAAATTATCCATCCATCCATCCATTATCTTTACCCGCTTGTTCCATTTTGGGTCACGGGGGTCGCTGGTGCCCATGTCCAGCAATCGCTGTGCGAGGGGCGGGGTACACCCTGGACGGGTCGCAAGTCCATCACAGGGCCACATAGAGACAAACGAGACAAACAACCATTCACTCTCTCATTCACACCTAGGGACAATTTAGAGTTACCAATCAGCCTAACATGCATGTTTTTGGTCTGTGGGAGGAAACCGGAGTACCCGGAGAAAACCCACGAATGCACGGAGAGAACATGCAAACTCCACCCAGAAAGGCCCCTGGACCGGGGTTTGAACCAGGGACCTGCTCGCTGAGAGGCAGCAGCTCTACCAGTTGCGCCACCGTGCTGCCCCTAGAAGAAATTATATGTTAAAAAAATAAACAGCTACATTATAAAGCGATGTGAAATACTAAAAACAGGAACATGTCTGCGTTGATTTTTGCCATGAACTTAACAGTTTAAAATCGCTTAGAGAGGTCAAAAGTCAAGAGCTTCAGATCTTTTTGCAAGGTGCTCCAGGTTACAGGAGCGGCGTAGGAGATTTTATAGATTTTGTCCCCGTTAAAATCATGTAAACGTGTCTCTTTTGTATAGAAGGCCATGTCCGCTAATTTTAGTGGGGAAATCAATCAATTGAGAGGTTCTGGAGCTCCAAGTCAGTCTGGCTTTGTTGAAGGAAACAGTACGATCCACACGTGACCTTCATCATACTCAAGATTCAGTTCTTTCTGACATTAATTCAAGATCTTTGTGACAGAGGAGCTCCAGACCTGTTACTTCCTGTCCTCTCAAACCCAGCAGGTCGAAGCAGATGGCCGCTAGTCCTGAGCCTGGTTCTGCTGGAAGTTTCTTCCTCATGAGGGAGTTTTTCCTTTCCACTCTTGCATCTGTGCTCGCTTAGGTGAAAAGTGAAAACTCAAAGCAATTTGCTGGCTCCTTATATAAATATTGTTATGAACTGATTTTTATATACGTGAATGTTTCTGTGCAGTGACCTGAGACGACTTCTGTTGTGAATTTGCGCTTTATAAATAAACTGAGTTGAATCTCCTAAATATGAGCTAGCATCTCATAATGAGCATGCAGCTCATAATTATGAGAAACTACATAAAAGTTATTACTAATACAAGAGAATATTTAATATGTATAAGATGAAAGATCTTACATGAGAATGGCAGAAATGTGGAGCCAGAGGTGTAATGGGAACCTAGTTTGATCAGATCTATTTTATTTTATTTTTTCATTGGTCTGAGTAAAAACTTCCAAATAATTGCAGAGGTAAATTTGGACGCAATGGATTTTTGGCCTGGTAAAATAAAGGAAAAATAAGGAAAGGAAAAATAATAATAAAAAAATTAATGAAATAAAAATATTTTTTGATAAATTGTAGTTTTATCATTCACCGGTAGGGGGCAGCTCCGGCAGCCTGGAACGCCAAGCGTCCTCAAAACCGTAGAAGAAGAAAAAACAAGCGAAGAAGAAGAAGTAAAAAAGAAGACAGCAGCTCTTGTTTTCAAAGGTAAGTCCGCGGATTTAAAATAATGTTTTTGTAGTTTTAATAAAAAGTGTAACGAATTTAAGAAGTTGCCACTTCCGTTTGTGCTGAAACATTAGCCACTTTGCCGACATGTTCAGGCTGACTTTTTCGTTGAATTAAAGTTAATAATTATCATGTTTTCTATTTAAAATGTCTGTTTTTCGCGTTTTAAAGCCTCTTTTTGTGATTTAGTTCATTTTTATCTCATGGTTAGTTTATTAATGTATAATTAAAGCGCAGTTGTGCTTCGCAGTGGTGCTGATGGAAAAAATAGCTTTCAGTTAAGATTATTAAATAAAAATACATTTGTTGGTTTAAATGGTGATCGTGATCATGTTTTATTTATTACAGCAGATGCAACTAAACTCAAAAAACAAGTAAATCTTGTGAAGTCATCATCCTCTTGTGTGTGATTAAAGTAAAGAAACATTTTTAATTCACTTCCGGTTCGTTGGTCTTGGATGAGGACACTGAGGTGAAGCTGCAGTTTGGACAATCATCTCCACACGCTCACTTCAGTGACCGAGCAGAAAAGACAGACAGATTATAAAAGTGGTGTTTTGGCTCTGCCTTTGCAGCGCAGACCCAGCAGATCCTGACCCGTTTGGCTCGCTCCGTGTGCTTTTTGTCAGGCAGTTTGTGTGCTGAACGGTGAAGATGCAGACGCCTGCAGAGTCCATCCTCCACAGCGGATATTTCCACCCGACGCTCAGATCCTGGCAGACCTGCGGCGCCGATCTCAAACCAGACAACCTCATCTACCCCGTCTTTGTCACGTGGGTAAACCGTGATCCTTCAGAAGTCCTACTTGATAAAACTGGGTCTTTTTATTTGCATCAAGCAGTGGATTAATTACGACGTGCTCGTGGCTTTAACTCTGCTCTGTGTCCCTTTCTGATCCAGAGACGATCCAGAGGCGGTGGAGCCGATCGGCAGCCTGCCAGGACAGGCCAGGTGAGCATCAGGCGTGAGGCAGATGGAGAAAGAAGGAGTAGCTAAACCTGGCTTACCTGAACCAATGACGTTATTGTGCTGCGTCCCAGATGAATAAGTCGGGGGGGGGGACGACGCCATATCGATAGAGCAACGCACATGGCC